AGCATTTGAAATGCTTATAAGAAAGTATTGAAGAAAGTAAGTGAGGTGCTAATAAAAAACCCAAAACAACTCTGTCAAAGAAATGCTGTGAAAAAAGGGAGGTCAAAGAAATGAAGAATCTGAAATGTTCTCTAGATATTTTATGAGAACTTATCCTTTTTTGAATATAGAAATTATGCATGGGTTTTCTTTCTCTTTTGGATTGCTTATTTAACAGTATTTGTGCTCATTGTATTGACTGATTGATTTTATATATTTATGTATTGATTTTTTGATGGAGCAGATAGTAACCTTAGAAGATGTGGTTGAGGAGATTGTTGGAGAAATCTTGGATGAAAATTATTCAAAGGTAAGCCTAATTACCTCATTAATGACCTTAATGTTCTGTTACTGAATCTGTTATTGGGGGCAAGTCTTTTAACTATATAGATAACTTTAGATATTGGATTCTATTATTTCTCAGCAAGGGGATGCTAAGAAAACTTGTTGATGGAGTCCAAAACAAATTGGTGTTATACATGTGCTGCTAATTTTCTACAGACCAATCGATCTAGATGCTGCTTTATGTCACCAGTTTCTGGTCTCATTTAGTTTGGCATGTACTTTTTCTGTATTTTCCATGTGACCAAGGAATTTCATGTCACTTCTCACGTCATGTAGGTATTTCTTTACTCTATAGGTCTTTCTTTACTCTATAGGTCTCATATCAATTAGTGATACAAGGTTCAGCTGTACTTGATTCTTAGGTGATTCATTTATACATATGTATAATGATTCTCAAGTGATTCTTATTTTATGCATTTGCTGCTAATTGTATTAACAGGAGGTGATCCAGAAGAAAACTGGCTATATTGTAATGCGAGCAGAGGGAGTATATGATGTCCATGCCCATGCATCTATTTATTTGCCATCTGAGGACTTGAATATCAAAATGCCAGAGGTATATTATTCTATAGCATTGCTGATTTTCGTTGTTATGGTGTATAGAGCACTGAATGGAGAATTTAAACATTAAAGCTAAAACTCAGTTATTAGGATCATTTCTACCTTTGATTATTTCTAGGATTGTACACTTCTCCTGCCATTTCCACAGGCTCATTAAAATTTCATTCTCTGCAACATAGTAGTTGATCGTAGGAATCTTAAAAATAGCCAGACTTATATACTTGATATTTCTGATCCCAGTTGCAAGTGAAATTCTGTTTATTGTGACTGTTGTGGGATTTTTATGCCTTATGATTAAGTGACCACTACTTAAAAAATAAAAAAACAAATGAAGAAGATAAAGGGGAGAGGATAAAGTAAATAGTTAAAATTGCAATGTGGTTTTCAATTCATTTTGAAGTAAAGGCACAGTTAATCTCACACTATAAATAACTATCAAAATGTTGCTTTAAATTTTAAATTTCATATTTCTACTTCATTGTTCTTTGTTCACCACGCTGTTCTATAGGAACATCAGT